GGTTACATTTTGGATATTCTCGTAATCCAGTGGTTTTTTGCCCCAAATAACAGTGTCTATGACTGAATTGAAGCTTCTAGACTTCAGATGTCTGGGTCCCAGCACTTCCTCCAGGAAGTTACTTCAGCTCCCTACTCTCCAGCCTCCTCCTCCTTCATCGGAAGAGGAGGAGACCATCAGGCACTGACTGAGTTGGTGTACTCACAGTGCCACACGGTGCTAAAAGCAGGCCTTGCCATGCAATAAGCACACAAAATTAGAAAGAGTGTTATTGTAATTTCAGAATATCTCCCTGGTGGAAGCCAGTGGGTTCTGCTGTAAGGCAGGGGTTCTGGCCACACGTGAGATGCCGTTTTTCTTACTATTAGGCCTGCATGAATCCCCTCAGACTTGCTGTAGTTAAATTAGAGGACAGTTCTCACTCCCCGACACATCCAACCAGAGGGCTATGCCTAGGGGATTCCATCGTGACATTTTCTTGTTATCTCACTGCCTAGTGGGCTCTGCTGCACAATACAAGGCTTGCAGCTCAGTGGCTGAGTGGGGGAAAATCATTCAACTTCACGGCGTTGCCCAGGAAGAGAAAGGATGAGACAGATCTAACTGCAGGTAATTAATTCTCCTGGTGTTTTTGGATATGTGCGTCTGCTTCAATGGCTACATTTGTTAATATCAAGCAATAGGGATTTCTTTCAGAGTGATTGTAGTAAAAAAAATTTTAAAAAGCAGCGGAACATTTTTGAAACACTAAGCTGGCCCCCTAATCTCTGGTCTGTTTGGTATGTAAAACCCTTTATCCGGCATGAATTTTTTATGAAAGGATTGAGAACCCAAGAAATAAAAGACAGGGTATGGAAAATTGTCATGCAAGAGATGGCTTGAGGCTGATTTTTAACCAGTGATATTCAGGCCTGCCGGGTCCAATCCATAAAATTCACCCATACTTTCCTTTCCAAACAGATAAGCAAAGCCACACTCCAAAGATGCAGAAGGCTCAGTTAGTCAGAAATCAGCCTTGAATCACCTGATGTGGAGAAGCATGGTCCACCGGTGAATAGTGTCCATTTTGGACTTCATATATAGGAGAAATAAACAAATACGATATTTGATATTTAAGCCATTGTGCATAGTTGTTCTGTTTGTTAGAACTTCACCTTGACTGTAGCAATGGGTGTCTTACACTGGACACAGGTCTTGGAGTCCGATCTCCCAGCAGCTGTGGGAGTATCTAGCTAGTTTAGTATCCTGAGAAAGGGTGATCTCTCTCAGTTTTTGTGCCCTGACTCAGGAACTGAGGCTCATTTAGGATGCTGCCCACCTCTTTCTGGGCTCAACTAATCCATCTAGATGCCTGTTCATTTCCAAGGTTCTCAGCTTTGTGCTCCACAGAACTTCCCAGCTCCATGGGGACCAGCTGTTTGATCCCAGTTACCAGCCAAGAAGAGCTGCACACAGTGGGTGGCACCGCCTCATGATAGATAAATAGACAGCAAAGCGGGGTGGTGGGGTGGTGGAGCCAGCTAAGTCCTCTGACCCCAAACATGGAGCTACAGGATTTTGGGGTTGTCATGCTGAGTTTTGGTCTTACTTTGTTCCAGTATTTCCTGACTATGTTCCGACACTTTTTCTTTTGGAATAGTAATGTATATTCTTTGCCATTATATGTTGGAAGTATGTAATGAAGAGCCTTTGAATTTGGAGCTTTCAAAATATGTTGTGACTGAAAGACCTGGAAGATAGAGGGACCCATGGTTCCATGAACCTCTTGATGGTACCCCAATGCATTGAGCTCAATGGTTATTTCTATTCCTTTTGGAGGTACGAGGGCTTGAAATCTAGACATCTAGCATGCTAGGCTAGGACTCTTTATGGAGCATCATTAACAATCTCCTCTGTACCCCAGTTGCAGATGCAGTCAATAGCATCTTCAAGGCTAAATGTCAACAAGGGATCCTTGCTGGCAAAACCAGCAGCTGAAGTGACTGGGAAGTGTGTGAGCAAATGTTCTCTGAGGATACTGGAAATGAAACGGAAAGCATAGGGAGGAACATGGAAAGACTGGACACCTTTAAAGATACTCAAAGTGAGGTGAGGTCAGGATCCTGTGATGTCACAGAATGGGCCATTGCCATAGTGAAGGCTGTGGACTAGGCCTGAGGGAGCACAGGGTCTACTGGGGTTGGCAGGGATACAGAGCAGGAGCAATTGGGTAGGGAGGCTGGGACTGTGTGGTGGTCGGTTAGGATCCCTCATTACTGGGATGATGGTCTGATTTAACCCTAGTGTGATGTACAGTGAGTAAGGAGTCTCAGAGGCTGTGAGTCATCTCATGTCCCTGAAGTGTCCTATATCAAACAGGACAGTGTCCATGGTAAGAAGATATGATGGCAGCAGAGATCAGAAGGATGAGTGCAGAGGAACCAGGCATGCAATGACACAGGGATTTGGCACTCACAACACAACAGAGAAAGAGGCCACAGGATGAGCTCACTTAACCTGTAAAACCCAAAAGACTCTAGGCTCTGCTTGGTGAAGGATAAAGCTCTGCTGCTGTGTCCCAATGCAGGGACAAGTATCATCTCTGGCAGTCCGTAGTGTCCAAGGCAGGTGGGATGCTTCAGAGATCCTGTTTTGTGGAGCTCCTAACTGTGCTACTTCACAGAAGCAGGGTGTTTTTTGTGGCCATGAGTTCCCCACAGCATAACTGAAGGCAAGGACTAACATCAAATCCCACTGAAATACTCTCTTTTTATTTATCCATATTTGAATTATACATAAGGCCTGGATGTTTATACATGTGAAGGCATGTAGCATGTATGTTCTGGGACTGAACATACTGGTGTGAGTGAAAGCAAAAGCCATATATAAACATCAGATGTCTTTGTCTACCCCACTCTACCTTGTTTGGAAACAGGATTGCTGTGGGATGTTCTGTATGGCAAATGTGTTGCTCTGATAGGTCAATAAATAAAACACTGATTGGCCAGTGGCTAGGCAGGAAGTATAGGCGGGACTAACAGAGAGGAGAAAAGAAAGAACAGGAAGGCAGAAGGAGACACTGCCAGCCGCCGCCACGACAAGAAGCATGTGAAGACACCAGTAAGCTATGAGCCACGTGACAAGGCAGGAAAACTCTAGCTACACAGGATGACTCTGGGCTCAGAGCACTGCTACTGAGAACTCAGCAGTGTCCACTGGGTCTGGGCTCACTGTGAATTAGCATGGACATGCAATAATTCACTCAGTCCTTCAGAAGCAGAGCTAAGACGACAACAGGGAGCAAATGATCTGATGCATCATGACTCATAGATTTGGATGGCTTTGAAGAAAGCTCAGAGGTTAGTTTACTAATTAGTCACAGTCTTTCCATTCAGTTTTTTATTCATGTATTTACTTGACCTGTACTGATCTTGTGGTGGTAAACAAACCCAAGATCTCTAGTGTGCCAGGTGAGCTGTCTGGCATGGAGCCCATCATAACTGAAGATTAAAATTTAATGATGTTGAGGGGAGTGCCTGGGGAACAAAGGTTTTACTCACCTTTATACCCTCTCCCCAGAAACATCAGATAGCACCCCGAGGGTTAATGTCTACCAGGGGACCAAGCTGACAAAAGCAGAAACTGGCATGGCTGGGCAGGGTGGTGGTCAGAACTGTGAATGAAGACGATGTACTGTCTTCTGGCCTCCCCTCCCAAGGCTGAAGGTACTAACTGAGAGGAAGAAGACCGGGAGGAAGGAGACTGTACATGAGGCAGCTCCAAGAGAAGCATCTATGACAAGTGTTAGGCTAACAATGGCCTGAACCTCCTTAGGGCTCCTTGAACATCAGTAGCTTGAGAGAAAAGGCACCTGGGCAGGAGAAGCTGGGACACCTCAATGCCCTTTAAGGTTCTCAGAATGAAGTGAGGTCAGGACACTGTGCTGTAATAGTAGGAGTCATTGCCATGGAAAAAAGTAGGCCTTAGTTCGAGGGTAACATTGTCCATTAGGGTGGGCTTGGAACATAAGAATTTGGGTCACGGTGCTGCTTTATGGTTTAGAAGACATATTTATGGGCTAAAGACTGCATCTACATCTTCTATAGTATACTGTTCATAAGGTGTCCTAAATTGTGTGACTGGTATTCAAAGAGGTTCTTGATACATCTGTCATCTCACAAGACAGGACACCTGGTAAGACATCAAAATAGCAAGGATGTCTGTAAGTGGTATACCAAGTCAAGCCCGAGGGAGAGGGCTCTATACCCATTCCAAGAAGACAGGCCTCTGGAGGAACCTATCCAGCCAGCACCTGGTCTAAGACTCAAAGCTCCAGCCTTCCAAAGGTTGAAGATCATCTGTTTACAAGGTCTACCAGTGATATTCCTGCAGGGAGCACATGCTGTACAAAGGCATTGTGTAGGCAGAGTTTTTCATTGGGACCACTGGCTTCCCAGTAAATTAACAGAGACTTAATATTATCCTACCACTGGGTGAATCAGAACCTGTGGCTTTTTTGGGGTCTGAGCCATACCTGGACTTTGAAAATTTTCTGCTCAGAATTTTTTCTCACTCATCTCCAGGACCCAGTTCAGGTCTTAATAGTGGTAGAGTCTGATCCTGATTAAAGATGAGTCTGCCTGTTCATATTTCTTGGTTAGTTGATCCTTTTCTGTACCATATCACCTATTAAGCCTCAACCATACCTCAAACATTCTAGAAAACATTACAGTATATTGCACACAAACTGGAATGAAATCCCAAGAACTCACTGATACCTACAAGAATGAGGCCAAATGGCACCATGACCTCCACAAGAGTTGTTTGGTGTTCACATGCTTCTTGATATCCAGGAAGCTTAGATCATACAAGTTGTATGATTTGTATCCTGACATCACAGATTCCAGAATCTCTCCTTTTTGACCTTTGCCTTCAAACTCATATGATTAAAAATGTCAAGTAACCCATTGGGCTAACAAGTTGATGACCAAGTGTACAGTCACCATTTTAATACAAATATCTAAGGGAAAGCCCTAAATCCCTGCTGTACTGGCATGTTTATAGGCTGCCCCGACACAATTGCCATGCTTCCTTACTCTCACCAGACACCACCTGGATGGAAGAAGCTAGAATTGCACTCCGACCTCTGTAGATATCTGCTTCTATATTACATAAACAACACAGTTCTGAAAACTTGTAGATTTACATCATGTTTTGTTCCGTGTCATATGCCCTAGCAATGTGTGTTTAGTTTTCAATAATTTCTATAATGTTCATCTGTTACCATAATTTATCCTGAAATGCTTCTTTTGGACCCTTTTCTATATTTCTGAGAGTGCTTTCAATCTTCATCTTGACCTTCTTGAAGCCAGGCTTGATGTGATGGTTCCTCACAAAGAGCAAGCACATATTTTCTTCACTTGCTGTCTCCATGTATCCTGCACATATCTCTCTTCCCAGACCTCTGCTCACAGTTCAAATCTTTGCCTTTAGTTGGTTTCTCCCCCTAAATTGAGAGGAATGGGCCAAGTATGCAGGAGACCTCACCTATTTGGCAATCACAAAGATAGATTTAATAAATTGGAGGACTTTTGAAGAACCACTTCTGAGTGCAAAATCAGATTTACACCAGTTTTAGAGAGTTGCTGAAGAAGGGCCATGAGGGAGAGGAGGAACAGAAGGTTCAGTGTGGGTCACAGGAATCTAGAAATCTAGAATATTTTTCAACTGAGACTTCACATGAGGATGGAAGCACTCATAGCCATAATACATACATGGGGCCACAGTAGAGTTGGGTATAAATTCATGCTAAAAAAAGTCACATGTGCTCTGTTCCTTCAGTTAGAGGAATTAGGGTCTGTAATGTTGCAACCCCAGGCTTGTCTCTGATGATCTTTGGTATCTCAGGTGGCATGTTTGCTGGCATGTTCTCTATCCAGCTACATACCTCTTCCCTTCTACAATCTTGGCCTCTTAGTAGGACATCTATGGTCACAGATGTTTTGCGCTCCTCCTGTTGTGATTCACTCTAGTCCCTATACTCTCATATGAGCCCTTCATGAGGGTGAGATGCAAGTTCTTCAGGCAATGTGAATACAGAAAGACCCAAGACCATATCATGTTACAAAAACTTTGACATGGAATTTCAGATGACTTTCTAAGAAGGTCTGATCTTTAGATACATGCCTTCTCACACTTATGGAATGGGACTTGTGGACTCTGAGTGCAAGGCACTTGGGTCAGCATCAGAGGCAAGGATGGTTCATGCAGTTTACAAACATCGGTGAGTTAGAAACAGAACAATCTGTCCAGGGATGAGGTCTTGAGTCCTACTGAAAGTTGAGTCATCTTAATCAAAGTTTTTTCCAATTCCTTGTTCATTATCCTATTGATGACTTGAGGTCCCATGAATGGTGAGGAACTATACCAGTGAGCCCAAAGATAAGCACACTGAGAGCCTGCCAGTAAACACCTGGAACTTTTAGCATAAGCTCAAGCATGTCAGTAAAGGAAGGCTCCCTAAGCCCTGAAACCAAAGAGCCTGGATAAACCCAAAAGAAAACCTCAAGATAAACACCGAAGGGGAAGTATTCCAGTCATAATGTCAATCCATACTAGCCTAGAACAGATTGCAAACATCAGGAGTTATGGATCAAATCATTTCCATAAATAATCCTGGAATAAACCAAGTCCCCAAAGATGGTGGGTATCCTGAAACCAGAGGTCTTCTAGTCAACTGCTCAAACATAAAGAACCTGTCAGGAGGAACCTACTTTTGAGTTGCTGGTCATAGGCCTCCAATAGGCTTCCCAAACAATACAGGCTAATGCTGTTGCCCTTGGTCACTTCCCAGAAGTTGAAGGTAATGACCTGGTGCCTAAAACACCAAACACTTGGGCACAGGACTCAGAGACTTAGACCTGTATGTGACCCTAAACATGTGTCCATGAAGACTAGCTTTCATAATTCTATAAAAGCCAAGGGAGGGAAGTATTCAATTATTATGCCTATTAAGCACAAAATGACCAACATGGCAAGGTATCACTAAAAGTATAATAATGGTGCTCATATTTGGTAGTAATCGGTCTGTGTAATTGCACTTAAGGCTTGCTCATCAGCAGTGAAATCTCGTTGTGTACTGGAATCCTAGTCAGCTCCACATGGCTACTAAGGTCATGTATCTTATAGAAGAACCAAATACTGACACTTTACTAAAACATTATAATTCCTGCAATCTCAATATTTATCTTTATACCCACAGGCAAGCTTAACTCTCAGCACTCATCAAAGTAGCTTGTGTTTGTAGTGGCTGCAGCAGACCATTTCAGAAAACCACAAATGGTCCAATGCAGAGAAGTACTGACTGTGGGGAGATCAACATCACCCGCTACATCTACAACACAACCCTTCCTCCTAAGACCCAGGGGTCATTGAACAAGAGGGACCAGAAATATTTTAGAGCCAGAGGACCCGACATTCTCCTGCTAGAGGTGGGTTTCTTGTAGAAATGACATGAAGGTGCACCCATGAGCCCACAACACTATGGTTACCTCAACACCATAACATCATTAGACATACTGGTATGTTTTGGCGAAACCATGTAGCTTTACCCCTAGACAAAGTGGAATAGGTAGCTAAACAATGTTGAGAATTAGTCCTCCCTAGGGATGATCCTTAATGGTCACCAGTAACTACAAGATAACTGAAAGCGAACAGGAAACAGGAAACAGAAATATAAATGTTGCTATATATTTATCCATTTATATATAGTTATATATCAATAATAACCAAATAGAGACTTTTTATGCAAATCATATATTTAGTTAGTCCATGTTAGGTATAAAACTTTTGGGGAGGTAATTCATTATAGAAAACTCAATGAAACAAGACACTTTGGCTAGATCAAAGTATATCTGTATTACTTCACAGTAGGTGAAAAGTAGGTTCCAAATCAGAGGATACTTCTTAATATGTTTTTCAATGTTGAAGTTTTTCAACTGTTTGGATCAATCAATATTTTGTCAAGCACAAATATTTTGATTTTATAGGCTAGATTTTGTTAGAGTCTAGGCTGGCTTTGAACTAATAATATCAGTCATCTTGTCTCTGTATCTCAAGTGATCATAATCAGGGACCACTGTGCCTGGCTCTATTCCTAACTTCTGCAATAAAGGCCACCTCTTTAGATGAAAATATATTAACAGATAAGGCTTGCATTCTTTTGACACCTGACCTCCATGTGGGGGCTATAAATTTCTACAGGGAAAGGAAGGATCAAGAACAGTGCAACACAAAACAAAACATGTTAAACCAAGGCCAATTTATTTAAAGGTTACACTGATAGTGTTTTTCCATGGGG